ATGAAGCAGTCATTGGAATGTGGTAATTTTCTCCTATTTAATTTTAACAGCTTTGAAAGAGTCATTTATTTGGGAATAATGAGAAAAACTAAGGACTCAATTTAGAATATCATCTTTGTTGCTGAGGGAACAGAAGAAATGTTTTAAGAAATCACATATCTGGTTTCAGGTCTTTTTCCGATCATAAGCTTCCTGTGGATATTGGGCAGATAATCTTCTCTCACACTCACTCATTTTTTTTTCCCCTCTTATATTTTGTTGTGGTTATCAACAAAGGCATGATGAAAAACAACTTTTAGTAACAAAAATTTAAAAGATGTATTATCCACTTAGCTCTGAATTTTTGTTTTTGTTTTCAGCATTGGTTGGATGGTACAAAGAGCATCAAAAAGCAAGTAAAAAGTAAGTTGAAAAAAATTATTTGTGAAAACTTTGAAATGGAATATACTAGAAACTCTGATCCCTAATATTAAGGGCGTAAGAAGTCATGTTTCAGCTGAATGTTTTTTAGCATCTTTGCTTTCTAAAAACAATTTCATTCCAATATACTGCCCCACTCCCAAAGCGGTGTATGCTTCATGCTAACCTAGATTTTAGTGCCTTGTTTCCAGGAAAGAGGTTTGCACCTTGCAAATGGGGTTGAGTTTGCATGAAATGCTTAACCTTCATTTAGTAATTAGTTGTGCTGGAATTTTCCTGTTTGGCTTCCGTTGAGCATCTGCTCTGCTCTAGGTAATATTGTGAGACTTTAAGAATGTAACTTTTTAAAATTAAAAATAGTGAAAGGAAGGCAATTTACCTAAAATGTGTTATTCCTAGCAGTAGTCAGGGGAAGTACAAGCATCCAGTCCATAGTCTGCGTGTCCTCTGTAGTCTCAGAGCTTTTCAGGGCAGCTAACTCCTGTCTTCACAAAATAATGGAGCCACCTTCTTGGTTGGAGGTCAGCGAACCAGCTGAAGTGAATCTGAAAGTGTGTGGGAGAATTTGCCCTGAGCGGTTAATAACATACGCATTCCTAAGCGCTCTCAAGAAATACAGCTCCGCTGGTTTTGAGGGCTGTGTGCTAGATGACACAGTGAAGGTTTTTGACTTGATGTGTTTGGCCCTGAAGTGGAATTAATCTAGAGCTTTCGGTTCTTGGGAGGGTAGACAGATGATTGTGATAGTGCTGTAAGATGATTGGTGCATTTAAAAATCTACTAATTGGTCTTTTGACAAACTGACCTGAAATAACTACCCAGTAACCTGTCAGCCTCTGTCCCTGCTTCTTCAGTACATTGTTGACAGATTTACTGAAAATTCTTACTGTTTAAATAGTTACATGAAAAACTAAACCTTGTTTTTGCCTTTTTTTTTTTTTTTTTAATGTCAGTTGGTTCACCCTATTGCCTGCATCTTCGAGTTAAGTTTTATTCCTCAGAACCAAATAATCTTCGTGAAGAGCTAACGCGGTAAGACCACCATCTACGTTTGGGCAGGAGTATTTTGTTAGTTTTGGTGAGGCTAGCTAAAGATGTTGGGAAATTGTCTTTAAAATTGTTCCCAGTTTATGAGCAGCTGATGAAATGGGTTTCTTGCCCCTGGTAACAAAACCTGACAGTAGAATTTCATTCTGGGTAGTGTTTTTTAAGTGTATGAATCTTTCCCTTTATTTATCACTTTTCAAAATAAAGAGTTGATTCCCTGGCATCCTGCAAAGGTGATTAAACCAGTTGCCATCAAGTCTTCTCTGACTCGTAGTGACCCCGTGCACTTCAGAGTAGAATTGTGCTCACTGGGTTTTTGTTTTTGGGGGGCAGCAAAAGAGTTTATTAGGGAGACTTACAGACGAGGCAAGTCCTGGGCAGCCACAGGACCAAAGCAGATTCCTGTGCCCCGCAGTGGGAGAGCAGTGGTTTTATAGTGGTGGTGGACAGTAGTGGCTATAAGCCAGGGGCTTACATAAGAGACTTAGCAAACTAGTGAACAAGGGGACCTCATGAAGATGCTCGTGTTTGGCCTCGCTAAATCTGTTTCCCCTTAAGTCCACAGCTTGGGGCCGGCTCTTACAATCTGGCCCATTCCCCTCTTGTGCCATAGCACAAGAGACCCCATTCCCTCCTCGCCGGGAACAGATATAGAAGTGGGGTTGACCAAGTGCCATATGGTGCCTGTGTATGTACAAGAGAGAGAAAGTTAGTGTGTACCCCGAACAGGGGGAAGCTTCCCTGACAAGGAGAAGGAACTGGGGGAGAGAATGTTCTGGGCCCAAGGCCTTTACTTAGGCAGCTTGGATGGGAGGCAGAGAGGCAGACTTGTCCTCCAACAGTCCACCCCCAAACTCCCATCATAGTGCCAGGAAAAGAAGCCAAGTGGTACCAAGTCCAGTATGCCTGTGACTCATTTTGGACGTTGAGCTGC